GTTGGTTTGCTTGGGTGCCCGCTGCAGCCTAACGCTGGCGAAGGTCTCCAGGAACAAATCTGGTGGCTAAGTCCATGCCATAATAACGTTAAGATGGTTTAGTTTCACACTTGGGATGTGCTGGTGTAAGAGATTCTTTCTTAAAAGGAATTTGCAGGCAAAAAAACCAGAGCCAGCATTGCTGGCAACCGTGGCCTGGCCTGGCCTGGATAGCAGTTGCTCTGAAGATGTGCAGTGGTGTTGTCACATCTTGTCTCCTCCAAACAGCTGGATTGCTTCACGAACTGGAACATTCACCAGCACAAGGGCACTTCAGATGGAAGAGAAGATGACCTCAGTTTCTTGAGAATGAATGCTGTGTCTCTGTCTGCATCAGAGATCTACGGGTTTGTTGACCACCCACAACGGCAGGGAGAGAGAGAGAAAAAGGATGGAAGTGGCAATCCATCATGTCACTTATGGGGGGTCCTGGAGCAGCTGGGACAGTGCAAGAACCTACGGACCAGCACCTGCCAGGGCATTTGAGGGCAGACCAGTGTTTTGGGTCGGAGCTGCCCACCCATGCGGACAGGAGCAACACCCAGGAGGGAAACCTAGAAAGCCAGCAGCAGAGGAAGAACAAAGAAGAATCTCCACCATCTCAAAGTGTTTTAGAGCAGGTGGTTGTTTTCTATGGAGAACTATGCTGTTAGCCTCAGGAGTCCACTGTCAGTGGAAGGATCACTTGGACAAATGATGCCTGGGGGACTGAGCGGGGGAAGTCTTTTCCAGACTGAGTAGCTGAAGATCACAAGTGTGAAGACTAGGGAGAGGGAGCTGTATCTCAGGAGCATCTACTCCTCAGTCCCACTTCAGTGTTACAGCCCTATGGCGAAGACAGCAGCTCGATACAGAGAGAGGGGCCACCTTGTTCCCAGTGGCCATGCCACCAAGGGGTGAGCGCAATAGCAGTGACATGTCTCTCCCAACAGCAGGCAGCTCCTCGGAGCCAGCAGCTGCCCATCCACCCAGCTACCCACCTCAGAGGGGGCCCTGGCCTTGGAGATGAGCCGGGGACAGCTAAGTGCTCAGGGACATGGCTGGATTAGCCTCTCCTTATGTGAAGCGGCTGTGGTCGGTTCTTCCTCCACCAAAAACGGGAGAAAAAAGCCTGAACCCACTCCTTCCTGCCATCTGGAGAGCTAGCCGACACCAGCCGAAACGTGCGTGCCATATGTACACAGCTGCAGAGCGCAGGGACGCCGCTGTCAGCCCATCTGCCCAGCACGCTGCGTGCCAGTCGCTTGGCCTCGGGTGGGCTGCTGGGACGGGGAAGGTGTCCTGCAGAGAGGCATGACTTCCCCTTCCTCCTCCTCCTCCTCACCAGGCACGGATGGGCTCCTTACAGTGTGGCCGTGGTGGGTCTGATCCTGCAAGCATTGGAGTTTTATCTCACGCATGCCAGCGAGGATGGGCATCTCCTGCCCTGCGCACCCAAACATGGTGGGTAAGGGGATGACACCTGTGAGGGTGCTGGGTACTGGTGGCCGAGAGGGGTTCCCGCTCCCAGGGGCTCCACATCCAGCACCCGACCCCTTCCCGAAGAACTACGGGGCAGAAGCACTCTCCTGAGCTCCTCGCCCGCCCGTCTGCGGGGAGGTATCGGTTTCAGCGCCTCAGGAAAAGCCTCCCAGCTGCTTAAGAGCCTGATACGTGATGACAAGGAGGGGACGGAGGACTAACCAAGGAACAAGAAGTAAAGTGAGGTCTGTGGTTGACGGCACACAAGGATTGCCTCCTGCCACGGGGCCAAAGGCCCTTTGTACGCTCAGGGGTGTGGAAAGAGAGCGCTTACCCAGGGCAAGGGAAAGCCTCCCTGCTGCCTCCACCTCCACAAACGCATCTCGCCATGCTCCCGCTTCCCAGCCCCGCTGACCAAGACGTCACGGAAAGCAACGTCCTCTCTTCTGATCCAAACTGCTCCTCAAAAACCTCCCCGCCGGCACCGGTGTGAATGATCTGAGTGACAAGCCAGCGCCGCGCGTATGTGCAATGAAGCTGACTGTCACCTGATGTCACGTACGGCACCAAGCACGCTGTTGGCAGCCCAGCAAGAAATGAATCCAAATGTCATCCAATGATGGTCGGGACAGCCAGCCCACCCCTCAGCAAATTGCTAGGAAAACCTCCCAGCAAACATTTCCCGGAGAATGATTTCTTTCTCTCTGCAGAGCGAACACAGCTCTGCCAGTATGTTCCTGTGCTGACCCTAGAGACCAGCTTTCATGGGAAGAGAGGACAGCAACTTGTTCTCCAGGCTCTTTGGGCTCCCAGCTGAGTCCAGGGCTGAAATGATTTATGGAGACAGGGCCAAGGCCAGGAATCTGAGGCTTTTCAAGAGTTGCCCATTTCCCAAAAGAGCGCGGCTTTAATTTGTTGCTTGCCTGACTTCTGCTTGAGGCTCAGCCTAGAACAAGATTGCCAGTGATTTGGGAAATCAGCGCTACTTCCCCTTGCGGTTTTGGTGGTGTAGATGTCTGTCCACGGAGAATTAGACTGACACTTCCAAGCGCGTTACACACAGTCGCCAAACAACCGAGATATGGAAGCAGCTTATAGAAACAAAATACATCAAGTCTGGAGTTTGCATCTAGAAGGGGCAGCCTCTCAGTACTGGAGGGACAGCATCCAGCACATACTGGATTACTGCGATTGTAACAGAAGCTGTCAGATCCCACCACTGCGTGGTGATTAAAAATGCTCTTGTTTAGATGCTCATCAGCAATTCTCTCCTGACAGATAGCCCCAGCCTCAGCCTGTGCTTCCTACTGAGGTTGGTGCTGGATGCCTGTCTGCAGAAGTGGATGACAGGGAAGGATTAACTCTTGGGGTGCAGCTACCCAACAACACAGCTGTCATTGAGAAGCGCTGCAGGCACCATGCGGGAGATGGGAACAAGCAGAATTCATCTAAGCAGGGAAGAGGATTGAGCCCTAAAGCGAGCACGCTCGGGGAATGCCTTGGTTAAGTAATGTCTGAAAGATGGTAGCCAAAAGCCTGGGTGTGTCAGCCCCCCCTGCAAACACAGCCTGCTGCTCCCACGAGGGCTGGAGGGGCCATCCTGGGAGAGGCAATGCTCACCACCTCTCAAAATCACACTCATCTGCAGCTCACAGCCCTCCAAGCCCCGCGCGCCTCCTCCTTCCTACACACCTGGAATAGTCCCATCAGCATTTACTGGAAAGGCAGAAAAGCTGGGACAGCTGGGCTTGCACAGTGTGACAGCACATCTTTGTCTACCAGTGAGCAGTTACAGGCTGCCTACACACACAGAGAAGTACAGGGCTGAGTATAGTCACCAAGATTTATCCTTGTGGGAAAGATACAAGAACCTCAAGGTTGGGGTATGGCTTCTCTGCATCTCTCCTCACCTTCCACATGTCAAGGAGGTGATGGAGAGATTGTGTCCAAAACTAAATTTACCTTTCAGAAGCTCCACCCTGCAGTGAGAACATGTCTATTATCCTTTACAGATGACCATGAGGATTTAAAAGACCTCTCAACAAGACAGCCTGGCACTGGGCACACTTGAAGCACACACACTACAGTAAAAATCATGGGAAACTAACCGGGAGGGGACCACGACTTAACTCACCTATTCCTGGCAGACATGGGGCACACTGAAAGTTTCAGAAGTGGCTGAAGGGACTCCCAAGGGGCCCGAGGGGTCAGGCACCCTGCACAAAAGCCAATGGGAGCATGTTGCTGCCCAAATTCCCAGTGGTCCCTTTGGGGCATCCCACCCCAGCAGGAGAGCTACTGAGTACATGTGCTCTTGGTACAGGAGCATCACCCAGCTCGCAGCCTGGCTTCTCTCCACCCTCTGTTTTCACTCGGGGGGGGGCTTTCTCAGTTTGCTTCATACTTTTCCCTCCATGCCATTCTCTCTCCGGGGGGAGGAAAAAAAAGTCCAAAAGTTTCTAACTGCAAGCAAATTAAAAGCCCTTATTTATTTATCTTGATTGTTAGCATAGTTCTAGGGTTGGTACTTCCAGGCATTTTGAACCGACTTCCCCTTCTGTCAGGCGTCCTCTCCAGGCTCCTGCCTTTAACCTCCCACCCCGGCCGCAGGCACACGGCGGGGCGGGCGCCCTCCCCGCACCAGCGCCCCTGGGGCGTCCCCCAAAGGGAGAGCAGAGGGGGGGGGTAAGGGAGGGGGGGGCGCCTTGACTTTGCCAAGCGATGCCCGGCACCACCGTCACCCTCATCCCCACCATCACCCCCTCCGGCTCCCTGCATCCCGCCCGCGGAGCCCCGGGAGA